GATTGCTTTTTCGCCTTTACTGCTGATAATCAGCTTTCATTGCTCTAGGTCTAGGCAGATAGTATGCAGGGAAGCTGAGATTTCAGATGCTCAGTAGAAATTGTTGCCATTAAATGGCTCTTCTACCAAGAAAAGACTTAGAAAATGGAAACTGAACTATTACTTGAACTGTGCTCCCTGCTTTCCAAGATGCGGGGGTAGTGGATTTATTTCAGTTACTTATTCCGACAAAGTCTCCCCACTATTTTATAACAGCAGAAAAGTTGACTAATGAATGTCTGGCTGTCTTTAATATGAAACAGGTGTTGATGTTGTTTTTTTTAAAAAAAGTTTGTGCCTTAAATCAGTGTTTCTCAACTTTGGCAGCTTTAAGGAATATGGCTTCAACTCCTGGATTTCTCCAATCCACATTCTGGCTGGGGGATTCTGGGAGTTGAAGTCCACACATTTTAAAGTTTCTTAGGTTGAGAAACACTGCCTTAAATGACTGAGAGTAAAACGAAGTCTGAGTTAATGGTCTCAACAATGGAATTTGGAGGTTGCGTCTTTTTGGAGTGCAGGCCTCAAAATGCCTAGGTATCCTCGCCTGACTACTGTAATCAAGACACAGATATTCCAGTCATCCCTCATGAAGCAATTTAGTCATTTCTCTTTCTTATTTCTTTGCCCATCTTTGAGATGTCTCACCTCTGCTATGCTACTGTTTTGTATACCATCTTCAGATGAAATGTGGGTTTTTGCATGTTGTAGTTGTACAAGCATGTAGGCTTGCTTATATTATTTTGGAAGAGGCAACTCAGCCAATAAATTAATGTATTCAGTTATCAGAGTTAGAGCCATACAGTTTAGCCTCCATCTAACTTTGTTCAATTTATGGTTAATGTTTTGGGCACTTTTAACAGGAAAGGAACTGATGAATATGCATCTTTCTTTAACTTTCTATCAGTGGCTTTAAAAATCAGTTCATTTATCAACTGGTATGTGCCTAAAGAAAAATTCACCTCATTGTATTCATGAATTCAAGAAACATTTTCCTACACACGGATGAGTGGGAGGCCTCAGTTCAAGTATTTTGTGTTCATCAGGTATTGAAGATCCAATAACCTATTTTTAAAATATTTCCTGAAATTTATATAATGCAGGCATCATGCATGAATTGTATGCCTGTCTGAAAGCTCTGCAATATTTTTGTTTTTCTGATGGATTTGGGATTTTCTGTATTTATCCCTTTTGTACAGAGAAGCTGTTTTTTAAAATAAAGGAAGGGATATGTGGACAATGAAGCCATCAGATCCTTCCTTTCTCTTCAGTTCAGTCCCCTCTGCAAAGAAACCTTAGCTTGGGGTCCAGAGAACAATGCTTTGTTGTGTTTTTTTGTCCAGAGGCCTTCTGTAAACTAAACAAAATCACCTGTCTGCTGAACCTGCGGTTTGGGAATTCAGATGGAAATGTAGATATATTCTATCAAATATACAGGAAGATTATTTTTATCTGTCATTTTATGTCTAGCTGTGACTTTTCATGCATAAATACTACAAAGGGAATTAAAAAAAAAACATGTAAGTTTATATGTGAGTGGAACTCTCAAAGCTGAGATTTTAGATGGAGGGGCCCCTGTGGAGTGCACTCCTAGTTAGAATGATGCTATTTTACTGTCTAATCTCTGGACAGAAAATACAAACTTTAAAGAGGAATTCTGCTCTAACTGGTTTTGCCAAATAGGATATCACCCAACGCAACTGGTTTTAAAATAAAGTTATTTTTCAGACTAAATGGACTGATGGTATTTATAAATTGCTGTTTAATTGTGATAAAGTTTCTTGAGGATGCATACAGTTGGATCCCAATATTACACATAACAATTTTCCTAACTAGCCACATATAATTTAATTTGCCTTAAATGCTGCATTTGCTTTGCTTCATCCCTGAGAGTCAGCTGTTGAATAAAAATCCAAACTAAGTCTGTTTGAAGTTTAAACTAATTATAAAAATGATTAGAATTTTTTAAAAATGCCATGGGTCTTTGTGCACGGTGATAAAGGTGCTGTCCCCCTATAAGCACAAAATATAAGTAATTTTTTTTAAAAAAGATGTCTGTATTCACTTAAATAATATCAATTTAGCAAGTGGGCTTTTTATACAAACCTGAAGAAATTAACATTTGCACCCAAGACCCACTTAGTTTAAGAAAGTGTATTGCATTCCTATTTCTAATTCTTGGCATTGTGCATAAATTTGTCAAAAATAACCTGGCTTCTCTTTTATTGAGGAATGCTTATTTAAACCTAAATAAATGTAAATCTTCTCATCATTAAAAGCCAAGTATTTCATTTGCTGCATCAATATTATAACATGGATTCAAACTATAAGCATACAAAGGATTGTAAATTTTTAGGATGAAAGTTCTTCAAACTTCTGTAGTGATGCAACCCTATAAAAATGACAAATGGAGCTGTGTGATGACTCCCTAACGACTAACCCCTCTCAAAAACATTTATACTTGGCCAAGTACATCACCATACTCACTGGTCAAATTCCAGTCTATGAACCAAACAACAATGATTGAAAACTTAACTCTCACAAAACAAAATATTTTTTATGGGAAAGAACAAAACTCCAAATTGTCCTTAGTGGGAATGATGAGCCCATTTGCTGCCTTCCCAATAGCTCCTGAGCATAAGGCCCCACCTTAGAGGCAGCCTCTCTCGTCTCTCCCCTGCATTATAAGGCTGCTCCAATCCTTTGGCCCACCATGCCCAGAAGTGATCCAAGCTGAAGCGCTCATGTCCCAGGCACCCAAAGTTGGATCTCTAGAAGACCATATCCAAGTCCTGAAAGATCACAGTCGCAACTCAGCCCAGACAGTTTGGAAATGAGTTCTGGCAACGGTTCTACCCTGCATGTTCAAAATCTTTCCCATGTGTGATTCCCTTCCAGCTTCTGAATCTCAGAAAATTGCTGACTTAAGATTTTTTTTTTAATCAGTAAAATTACTATTTTAAATAACAAATTTCAGAATGTTTTATGAAGCATAAAAAGTACCATAATGAAGATAAGTGGTATTTGCAACAGTTTTTCATCACAAAACTCAAACGTAGCACCGCTACTATGCACCTATGATATGGAGATATCTTTGCAGTTTTCCTGGCAACAATATGGGAAAAGTATGCTCTTGTTTTCCACTAGGTGTTTCCCCCCCTGACTTCCCTGTTAAGTTTACAACCCTGGAATTTCCTGGCTGTGTTCCAAGAATTAACTAGGTATGATTTTAGCTTTGGAATTCAAGCAATGGCAATCAGGTGCTGCTGCTTTTTCCGTGTCTAGATCAAACTTTAAATTGCCAGAATGAAGCAACCACCTTAATCATTGGCCAAAAATAAGTCATTATTGGTACATGTTTTTGGTAGTAGCTTACATAGCAGCAGATGGGCGAGCCTCTGTGTCTCCACATTCACACAGCTTGAAGAACTCCATTTTGATTTTACAGATGCTGCCACCTGCTGATACAAAACTTAATTTATATTTAAAATTGGCTTTAAATGCACTTGTTGCATATAAAGTGGACTTCTTTTTTTAAAAAAAGGCCTTTTCACTCAATTGCAAAGCAGAAATTCTTCAAAATACAGCCCAAGAATAAATAATACATTTAGTTTATTTGGCCTTTGGAATACAACTTAAGATATTCAGATATTGTATGACGATACAAACATTTTCCACTCCTGACAGTCTTCTAAAAAAACCTGATCTACACACATACTAATGTTAGCATAAGGTGTGCCTATAAAGCACTAGATGTTCCCTGTTTAAGAAAAGGATGGAACAGTCCATGAGTATGACAAAATTGTCTGTGATTGTCATTCTCTGCAGGAACCTATTAACTGCAGACACACATTTTTCAGTATGACCAAACCTTTCATAATGAGAGCCTGCATCAATTTATCCACCTAATTGCAAGCTCTCGCAATCGGCATGTGATTATGTGATCAAGGAAATGTACATGACTGACAACTCAAAACAACTATCAGCAATGGATGACAGGCAGGAAAGTAATATCCAGTCAGCTGCCCTTTAGATCATGGCTGTGTACCTCTTACAAGAGAACACACTTCTCTTAAACTAGAAGTATTGTCTACAACCTATTCAATTATCCCAAATAGACTTATAAATTTCATATACCTCAACCTCAGAATTATCCTTCCAATCAGATGGTCTACAACTATCATATACTATCTTACATAATTTTCTTTACAAAATTTGCCTCATTAATATGCAAGAAGTAACATGTCTTGGACATATATGGAATTTATGTTGGTCTGAAGGACAACAAAAAAAGCCCATTTTATTTAAAAATATTTCTGTTCTGCATTGCTTTGACCTCAAATATAGATATATTACTATCAGAATTCACATTTTAACAACATTGTAGTAATATCTTTTTACAAAACATATTTCGAATTATAAAATAATACAGTTTTAAGCCTCAGCAAAGTTCTTATTTTTTTTTAAAGAAACTTTTCTAAAATAATCCATGTTGCAGAAAACTATTTTTTGCCTTTAAACTTCCAACATTTTCTCATCATATCTGTCACTGCAATACATTAAAACTACTCTAAGGTTGTTTTGGATGTTCTTTCTTACCAAAGGAGGAAGTGGGATTAACAAATGAAATGCTAATCAGATGAATGAAGATTAAGTTGCATTATTTGTATTTTATACTTTGATAAGTTTAGTAAAATTATTAAAGGATTTTTTTTAAAAAAATATCCAAGAAATAAAAGTAAGCTACAGTGTGTCTTTACTCATTTACACTGCAAGTTTAGTAAGACTTCAGAAAAGTATTGGTAGTAGCAGTAAATCTGTTTTAGGCAGGCATGGCTGCTACTTCTATTACTATAAAGCCTACCTTTGACACAGAAAAGGTGAGTCCTTTGAAAGTACCTGTGAGAGGAGTGTCTAATTTGAAACTTGACACCTTCTTCCTGAGCTGATGTGTGGGCAGAAGTAGGCGGGCTATACGTCTCAGCGTATACACTCATTGTTCACAACACAGTTGACAAAGAAATCTTCAGTTGACTTTCCTAAGAGAAGTTGTCTCTCTGTCTGTGTGTGGTAAAATCTAGATTGGCTCTGAGTTTCTTTGAAGTTTGGTGTACTGGAGAGTTCTACTCCAGGCACAGAAGAGATGAGCTTTACCAGGAGAAAAGGCTTCTTCAGGCAAGAAGTAAACAAGACGATGTGGGAACTTCCTAGACGATATACTGCTATCATCCCTGTAGGATCTGGTGCTTACGGCTCTGTCTGGTGAGTGGCTCTCTGGATTTCAGGGCTTTGGCAAAGCAGGAAATGGGGATGGATAGGGATATACAGGATCTTGGAATCCTGCATTTTGAGGAGGAATCATAGGGAATCACTTCATTTGACTCTGGTGAATATACATTTGCATTCTGGAAAGAAATTTGGTTTCCTTCCGGCCACAGTTTTCTACGTCATTCTAAGCGTCAGTTGATCAGGTATTGAAAGGTACCTGAGTATGGGAACCTTGTGAGTTGCCAATTGTCCTTTTTCTGCAAGGCCCCTTGTGTTACAATTATTTGGTATCTTGATCTTTAGACAGGGTGAAGCGCAAATACCATGCTGTGCTGTTTGTTTGCAGTTGGAAGGAAAACAGTTCAGATATTGCTGGCATGACAAATTAATAAGGCGCATCTTCTAGCACCATTTTATTTTCAACTAATGGTTATGTGCCATCACATCGCTTTTGATTCCTAGTGACCAAATAGCTAAATTATTTCCAATACTCTAATATAAAAACTCTATAGGAACACTAGCAGTTGATGATGATCAAATACACATAGTTTCAATTTTCCTTAGTAATAGAGATCTGCTTAAACCTGGTTTCCACACTAGAGTTTTTCAAGTTAGTTGGGCTTGGATTATATATTTGACATATAGAAAGTAACTATAGCAGTGCTTGGAATGATGTCTTTTTTCACAAAACATTTATAGCCAGAGAAAAAGGATATTAATCTGCCAATGATTTGCAGTATGACAATGCTGTATTGTTGTATGCAAAACACTTTTCCAGCTGGGTACTTCTCATATAAGCTAGTCAAGGTGTTATACGGCCTGGGATGAGTGTTGAGATGAATAAAGAAGGTGATATGGAGGAAGGAAGGGCCTCTCTCCTTTTGTACTTCCCAATACTGAGTCCAACAGTCCCAGCTTCTACTGCTATCAGACAAGTCTTGTTTACATTAAACTATTCTTTCTGAACTACCCGCTCTACTTCAGTTAAAGTGCAGTGACTTTTACAGCTCATAGGTTCTTGGGCTGAAATGCCTGGAGCAGACATGCTGTAATAGCCAGAGCCAGTGAGTCAATGCTTCTGTCACATAGAATATATTTGTGGGGTGGGGTGATTTTGTTTCTTTATATTATGCTGGCTTCTGAGTGAGATGTATCTAAAGTTAAAATTTACATCCATGATTTTTTCATAGCGATATAAATTTCCACATGACAGCCTAGTTATTTGAAATGTTAATTGTGTATTGACTTATTCTGACTAATGTGAAATATAATATTTTGTAGCTACAGGCAGATCCTAGAGGATTTAGGCATTTAAATAATTTGTTTATAGCCATTCCTTTGTGTTTACGATCAAGGAAATAAAAAGGACAATCATTTATTTTGGATCTTTAACTGAGTTCAAATTCTTGGATATATATCTCTTCCTCAGAATCAAATGAACAAATGCCAAGTAACACTGCCAAACATTAAATTAAAATATAATAATGTTGGAGGGAATTCCTTTGGGGTAAGACCCTAATGCTTTTTCTCAGGACTAAGGAAACTGTCTGTCCATCCCACATAGATCCACTTTTGCATGAGAAGCAGTGAATGAAACATGACAGGTCCACTGAGTGGCTACCTGCTTTAGTATTGGTCAGCAAATACTATATTAAAGCAAATACAAAACTGCTGTATTCAGTTTTCTTTGTTTCTTTTGAAAAATGAAATAGGTGCTTCACTCGTTGCATTAAAAATGTTTATGGCCTGTAAAAAGTGTATTCCCTTTCCACTGAATACTGTCAAAAATCTATCAACAATAATAGCAGTAAAAATAAAGGTTATTAATTAAAACAGAAATAAATCCAGATTGCAGGAGACTTTTAAATCAAATGATTAAATTAATAATTGAATAATAATAAATAATAATCATTATTATTTAATTAAAACCAATCCAAGTGCTGTATTCAGAAGATACATAACTGCCCATCATGTTATTCCACTTTTAGGTAAGAAATATTATAAGCATTATAGGTAAGAAAATTCAGTCAAAGAGTGAGAACCAGTGAGTAAAAAAAATAAAGGCAAGAAATTAAAAGAGAAGGAAATCTAAACATAATTAAGGTTATCATAATATACTATAGCTCTCCACCCTTTTCTGTCTTTGAACATTGTCTTTATTGTCTTTTTCCACTATATCCATACATTGTCTTTTGTTCTCTAAGATTCTTTTTCAGGATCTTATCAGCTTTATCTAGTTACAACATTCTCTCTGCTCACATACTCTTCCTTGATTTAGAATTATTTTTCCATATGCATTCATTCCTTATTTGACAAAACTATTTGAGCGTACATGATTTTTACAGATCATTTAGTTTTGTACTCAATTTATGTTAATTCATCAGCTATTCATTTTTGAACCTACCCCTATCTCTTCTTGCTTTATGGTTTCTTCTTCAGTAACTCATTCCTACCTCATTCACCTTCATTGACATTCCTTTCTAATGGTAAGGATGTTGGTAGTCAATTGAGGCACATTTTGTCCAGTATGCCACAAGCACAATCAAAACTCAGTTTTCCTTCCAGAATCCTCACACTTTCTATGCAAGCCAGGATCTCTAATCTAGAGACTAATTTCCAATACTGCTGTCCATATCTCACTTTCAGCCTCCTCTTCCTGTTCTTCTTCTTTCCACCTGTACAGAGAGGAGGCAATTGTTTATTCATTTTTAAGTGAATATTAATACTAAGTGCTAAGAAATTATAGTTCAACATTTTAAAATCTCTCCTTTAACATTTTGATTGGTGATGTTACAAAGTGCCCTGAGAGATGGAAGAGTTTTTGAAAGTTACAATTTTTGGTATTGAATTTTGTATCCCATTATTTGAGAAGGCTATGGTTCCCAAACCTAATATTCTCCAGATTGCAATACACTAATGCTGGCAGAGAATTATAGTAGTTCCAAAATTTCTAGAAGGCATCAGTTGAGAAGAACTAGTAGAGTGCCTACATTTAGCTTATAACATATAATATACAGTATGTAGAAAGAAGCTTTTATAGGTACACTTTATGCACCTAGAAATAAAAGTGCCTGTGTAGATATGCTCCCCAGGTAACACAAGATCCAATTTATGTAGACTCAGCTTTATACAAATGTTTCTATAAGCCATGTCTAAAATGCATAAAAGTGCATTTTTCATGTGTAATGCAAATTAGTACATCTTGTAGATGAATTCCAGATCTACACAAAAACTAGATTGTGCAGTTTTCCAGAACAGAATGGTTAAATAAATCAGGCAGTGTCTGCAGTCTTTGGTTCTTCACCATGTAAAAATGCAGTGGCAAACATATTTACCACCATGTGTTATGAACGAAGCCTTAAATTTATATGGAAGTGTCCTTATGCATATTGATATATACAGAAATTCAGTGAATTTTCATCCAAATACTGCAGCAGTACAGATAAAGCTACAGTCCTAGTTATGCTTACTATACCATAAACTTCAATGAATAAAAGCTCTCTTACATATAAATATGATTAGGATTTCACAGATCAGCGTAATACTTCCATGTAATTTCTTTCTGAATGTTTTTCTCTTATTTGCCATAGTTCTGCAATAGATAAGAAAACCGGGGACAAAGTAGCTATCAAGAAGCTCTGTCGCCCATTCCAGTCTGAGATTTTTGCCAAACGAGCCTACCGTGAGCTCACACTGCTAAAGCACATGCAGCATGAAAATGTGAGTAACTACTTCTCTGCGTATGTTTGCGTGTACCCAAAAGAGTTCTCTGTGTCTTTCACAAATAACAACTGAACGGAACATACAGCTGATGTTTCATTTAATATCATCATTTCTATCTTCACCTGAGTTGATAGTCAAGACAAAAATCCAAATAAATAGCAAAATATGCATGCCCAGAAGAGTAACAGCTTGCGGTAACAGCTTCTATGAAATAACCAATTCATCCCTGCATTTGATGGCTAGATCTCATTAATTCAAGTTGCTATATTGACTCAAAAGTTATAAATCACTGCCATACTAAGTTTGGATCATCAGTTAACTATACTTGCAAAGATGGAAGACAACCAGCCAGACAAGTTCTAATATTTCCTTTTTCAACCTGATTGAGTTGAGATATGTTGGATGCTTTGGGATTCTGCAAATTGTACCCCCAGTACGTCTGAGGCTAAAATTAGACGTAATAAACATTCTGTCCAGCGGATGAAAAGAGGGATAAGTTTATAATACTCATTTTCAATAATAAGGATAGCTTGTCATGACTTTAACATAGCTGGATGCCCTGGTCTTCCTACTGATAATCATATTTCAGTTTTTGCTGAAAGATTTAAGAACCAAATAATTGGTTGGATAAATTATGCTTGGCAAAATGTAATTATCTACAATATGCTATGAATAATTCAGATACTCCCAAGCAGCTCCAGACAGTGGTGGGATTCAGCCAGTTCGCACCACTTCGGCAGAACCGGTAGCTAATTTTTTGTTGCCGAGGCCCAGAATGGACTTCTGGAAGCGGCATTCACACAGAGAACCGGTTGTTCACATATTTGAATCCCACCACTGGCTCCAGAGTGTAAAAACAAGCCTGCTTCACACTCTGCTGAGGGGTTTCTAAGGTCCTGATAGTGATAGTTACTTCTTAATCCATTTTCCTTCATCCCTCCACCCCAATTTTCTAGCAATAGTGGACTTACAGTACTGTATACAAGCTAGGCATTGCAGTTACTGCCTGATACAGGTACTGAATTTCTGTACTTCAGGTTTAATGCTACCGCCTGATTTGTGGTTTGGGTAGAAATCTGGTCCTTTCATACTATGCATTCATTAAGCTACAGGGTTTTTTTAAAAAATATTAACTAAGCTGTGTACCAGATAGCACAGCAAAAGTTTTATCAATTGCTAGCTTACTGTAGGGCAAGTGTAAGGTAGCCAGAACTGGCTGTAAATGATATCTAAGAAATTCCACTCCTGGCACCTTCTTTCCTGTGACTCTCACTCTGATTTATTTTATGTAAGCAAGTCCTATGCACATGATTGTGGCAAGGACAGACGTGACACATCCTTGTTATGTGGCATCTTCTTGACATTAGTCTGGTGTGTTGGAATCTCCTATTCTCTTCATGAACTAGATAGGAAGACTGCAACATCATTTTGCATGACATTCTGTTAATGGGAATGTCTTTCTTTTCTAAATTCAGTAGTCTTTTAGGAATGGGAATCCAGTCTGAGTTCTAATAAGAATAAAACATATGCGAACAGATATGCTGGCAATTTTCTATAATTCTTATTTTCTCAGCTACAGTAGTGTCAGCTGTGGTGCAGCATGGCCTAATTAATTTATAAAATATTGGTGCATCCAGAATTTGAAACATACATTCTGTACAACTATCCCTGGATTTATTCCCTGGTCTTGGAGCTTCCTATGAGAACATCACAAAATATAAGACTTCCCCTCTCCCAGCCCATTGCTTGAAAAGGCCTCAAGTTGCCAGTTAACATGGCTTGGTTTTTATCATGTTAGATAGATATGTTCTTGTATTCTGTGTAAGTTAACATTCCAAGTCTACCTCTTTGCAGGTTATTGGATTACTTGATGTCTTCACTTCAGCTACTTCATTTGATGGATTCCAGGACTTGTAAGTTTGCATTTTCTACCATACGATATTCTATAGTTCTAGTGCAGAATTATAACAGAATAACAGAATGGGGAGGGACCTTAGTGGTCTTCTAATCCAACACCCTGCTCAAGCAGGAGACCCTGTACCATTTCAGATGATTATTCAATCTCCTCTTAAAAATTTCCAGTGTGGAGCACCCACAACTTCTGGAGGCAAGTCGTTCCACTGATTAATTGTTCAAACTGTCAGGAAATTTCTAGGTTGGTTCTCTCCTTGATTAGTTTCCATCCACTGCTTCTTGTCCTGCTTTCAAGTGGTTTGAAGAATAGGTTGATCCTCTCTAAAAGAATTGCTTTTAAAGAAGGCACAATGGCTCGGTCCATTAATCACTTTCTCTCAAAATCTGTTATTTTCAAACATAGGTCTATACAGGTTCTGTCACTAAGTTTAGCAATAAATAAATAAATAAATAGCTATATGTGGCATAGAGCCTGGATACTTGAGGGACCACATGTCTCACATAGCATCTGTCTAGCTGATTCAATCCTGCAATCTTGATACGCTCCAGATTCCTTCAATTAAGCAATGTCATCTATTGAAGCCCTGGAAGCATGTTTTCTCTGTAGCAGTTCCTGTCCTCTGAATGACGTTCCTTCCAAGATCCAGATGGCTCCTACCCTATTATTGTTTTTAAAAGTTGTGAAGAACTGGCTCTTTTTCCAGGCCTTTGGTTAGGAAAAGTAATGCCTCTCACTTCACTGTCTTTGTCGTTTTTATCTTTATCTTTCATGTTTTAGTGATCTTATTGTAATGTTATATTATTGTGAATTGTTGATAGTTGGGTGGTATACAGGTTTAATAAGTTATGGTTGGTCATACAGTCAGCCAGAAATTTAGATTGGAGTTGACATTTTTATTCACCTATTGAGGCTTTCCCAAGGACCTGGAATAGGCAGATGTTGTTGTTTCTTCACAGGATATAAGCTGTTCCAAGTAAAGTTGCCTTTTGCAATTGAGTGATGATGATTTTGTCAGTGCCAATTGTCTTCAAGTGGTGCTCCAGATCTTTTGGGAATGTACTCAAGGTGTGACTTTTGCTGCAGTTGTTCTATTTCTTTTGGAAATGTTTGTATTTTGTGGTTTTCTCCAGCTTTTTCTCTACTATTCTATTCTGCTGTCTCCAGGTACTACTACATCCACTATCTTGACTTTTTTGTCTTTTTTATCAACAATTGTTAAGTCTAAGGTGTTGTGTGGCAGGGGTTGGTCTGCTTGAATTCTAAAGTCCCAGAGCACTTCAATTTATTCAATTTCTATTATTTGGTCTATTTTGTGATGCCACCAGTTTTTGCTTGCAAGCAGATGGCATTTCTTGCAGATATTCCAGTGCACCATTGTTACTTCTTTGTCATGCCATTCTTTGTAGTCAGACTGTGTGATTTTCTTGCAGTCAGACTGTGTGATTTTCTTGCAACAGCTAATTAGAGGTTCCACTGTTTTTTGCAGTTTATATTATTATTATGTTTGGTTGCATAGTCAGCCAGATGTTTAGATTGGATTTGGCATTTTTTTTATCCACCTGAGTCCTTCCCAGGGACCTGTGATAGGCAGATGTTGCTTGATGGTATTATGGTTGGTCTCACAGTCAGCCAGATGTTTATACTAGATTTGATATTTTTATCCATCTATTAAGTCCAACCTGGAATAGGCAGATGTTGTTGTTTGATGGTGTTAATTATATTGTCATAGGATGTAATCTGCTTCAAGTAAAGCTGCCTTTTGCAATTGACTGAGAGCAATTTTGACAATGCTGATGTTGTTCAAGTGCTCCAGTTGTTTTGGGATTGCATCCAAGGTCGCTACTACTATTGGTACTATCTTTGTTTTCTTTTGCCACAGTCATCTAATTGCAGGTCTTTGTATTTTGTAATTTTCTCCCATTCTTTCTCTTCTCTTCTGTAACTCCGGGTACTGCCATGTCCATTATCCAGATTTTTTTTCTCTTTTTTATCAACAAGTGTTAAGTCTGTGGTGTTATATGGCATATGCTTGTCTGAAGTCCCAGAATACTACAGTTTCTTCATTTTTCTAACAAGAAACATGACAAAGTAGCAGCAATGATGCATTGGCATATCTGCAAGAAATGCCATTTATCTGCAAGCAAGAACTGCAGAATAGGCAAAATGCTCATTATTATCATATACACAAAAACATGAAATCACAACTGCTAGTTCTTTAGTTGTAATGTATCAGTGCAGTGTATGTGTGGATACAAGCAGTGTGGCTTTTTGCAACTGAAGATGGAAATTTTGTCAATACGTAGTTTATTATTGCTGTTATTATTGTAAAGTACACATTAATTTTTGCACACAATTTAGCATCCTGGAAATTCTGTTTTTAATTCTTGCTTTTAAATGACAAACTTTCTGGGGCCAATCTAGCGAAATAATTGCTACCCATAATCAGATGTCCTGTCTTTTTACATTTAAAAAAATATATATTCCCATTGGTTCCAATTTCCCAAATGAAGAAATGGTATTTTCACCCCGCCATGCATTTTTTTTCAAATGGAACTTTGATGACAGAGATTTACATTTGAAAAATGAATGACATGGGAGGAGAATATGCTTTTTGCCAGAATTGGAATCTCGTAACAAGCTCTTATCCTTGTAATGTTTTAATATTTAATATTTATACAAAAAAATGCCCACTGGGAGCAATCTGTGTCACACAAAAGCCAGTCAGGAATTTGAATACAATCTGTACTATGGGATCTGCAATATTTAATAAAATTGATTGAGGTGATATTTATAATATGTTCATTAATTAATCATAAAACATAATTGCAAGAGACATTAGAGGTCGTCTCATGAAACTTGCTCAATGCATGATTTAAAATGCAAAACATGTTACACTGTGCTGACACAATCTAGTTTCTACATAAATGCCTTTAATAGAAACCACTGCATATCAGGGTAATAACTAGCAGAGTATAACATCTATAGAGATGTCCTTTTTTTTTTTTTTTACATTTCAAGACAATTGATTTTTCCATAAACAGTTTGTACAGTTTCTTTTAATATTTAGCTTAGGATGTGCTTTCTTGTAATTTTATACATCTGTCCTTTTTATATTCTTTGAAGGAACAATGAATACTAAACAATTACTCAAAGTCTAAACTAATCACATAAATTTAAAAGTAAAACAAATATCAGCAGCACTAAGGCAAAATATGAATATACGTAAAATATATTCAAATAAATGTAAAAATGGGCTAGTCATTTTTAAAAAGTCTTTATGCAAAACAACAAACACATAGTTATATGTTTAATGTGCATTGGTTTTAAAAGCTGCAGAGTGCAATTTGTGAATACAATATATATTTTTTAATTTTGCTGTTGTTTTCTGATATTCTTGCCAGTTCTACTATTTCCAGACATGGGTCTAGCATTCTTCTGAAATTTATGGAAGTGGGGCACAGAGTGAAATTGGAGGTTTTAATTAGTAATTGGTTTTAATTAATAAGAGAGAACGACACTGCTGTCAACAGGGCTTTCAGAGGTAGACAAAATAATGAAGAAATAATCAAAATAGAACTCATTCCCCATGTCCCTGTAATGGAAACAATAACATACAGAACTAAACAAAGATACTTATTGATAGAAGGCCCATAATGCACCCAACCTTGACCAAACTAGCAAAATCCAACCTCTTCCCCAGATTAAGTCAACCTTCTCTGCAGCACTGAGCAGCAATCCTGTTTTTGAAAAATAAGTCTAGTGTTCTTTCTTAAGGGCACTAAGCCTGTCTTTATAAGAAGCCTGTATAACATCTGACAAATACTTCTGGAAGTGCCAATCTGGCATGTAGGCAAGTATCTCTGTGGAAGCTATGTCTCTCGTGCTTACTGCAGTCCAAATTGAAATGACCGTGGAGGGCAGTCCCCATGATTAGAGAGTGAGAGGCATGCCCATAGCAGCTTAGAGCAGCCACTAGAAGATGGGCAGGTTCCAAATCCTGACCATTACCCATATCATCAATGAAGCATGCTAGATTGTGTCCAGAGCAAGAACTGTGTCAGGAGAAGATAGAGAACACCACTTTAAGTTGAAACAATTCACTTTAAGATTACTTTAAGCTGCCATAGCTGTGGGCTGGGGATATAAAAGCAATACCATAAGGAAATGTTTGTGCCATGGTTTGTACCATAGTTAAGGGTTTCAAAGATGACACTTACCTCTATGTAATTAATAACTACATAAGAAGTCAGTGCAAATCAACTGGCCCTCAGCTTCCAGTCAATAGCTAGTTTATCTGGTACAGTAGTCCTTTGTGTTCTATGTGTTGTATAATAAACACAGGGCCAGAAATTGAAAAGCATAGATTAAATGGATCTGACAAGCCAGCAGTGTGAGTCTCACATCCACTAAACTATTAAATTGACAATAGGCTTATTTAAGACAATAGAAGTAGTGGTTTCAGAGAAGTTCAGATGATTTTGTTATGAACTGCGGTATAAAGAATGTTGGAATAACACTGTTTGCTACAGTATTTTGTTAAAGAGCTAGTGTTCCCATTCCTGGTTCTAAATTATAGCCATGCACTCTTATTTTCAGAAGTGGAATTTTATAAAATCAGTACGTGTCTTAGTATGGATTAGCTACTATTTCTGGTGAACTATACAGCCATATTATAACCTACATCTTTTCCTGACACTTACTTTTTAAATATTTTTAGTTACCTGGTGATGCCATACATGCAAACAGATTTACAAAAGATAATGGGACACCAATTCAGTGAAGAAAAGATTCAGTATCTGATCTACCAGGTTTTGAAAGGCTTGAAGGTAAGTAACTTCAGAAAAATTCAGAACAGAGATTTCTGCCAGCTTTTCCAAAAGATCTCATTTCTTTAGTATTTTTGTAGTGACAACATCTTTTAATAGATTCTGAACATAGAATCATAACATTGAAAGGAGTGAGGGGAACCTTAGAGATAATAAAGTCTATCTCCCTGCCTAGTATATGGATCTACTCAGTGGTGGGATTCAAATACGTGAACAACTGGTTCTCTGTGTGGATGCTACTTCTGGAAGTCCATTCTGAAACTGGGCAACAAAAAATTAGCTACCGGTTCTGCCGAACTGGTGCGAACTGGCTGAATCCCACCAGTGGATCTACTACTTTAGTATCCCTGACCAAGAGCCATCTAGCTGCTATTAAAGACCTCCAATCAAGCAGTATGTGGATTGATGAAAGACTGTATCCTTTTCTTGTTAACTTAATGTCATTTTTTCTTGTCTTCTGGAACAACTCTAAATAATTCTGCCCTGTCTTCCCGACAATAGCTCTTCAAATATTGGGACAGCTTCAGTATCATATTTCTCTGCAAACTTCTTCTCAAGCTAAAGACATCCAGCACCAGATGTTCCTCATTTATTTTGCTATCCAAGTCATCTTATGGTCTTGGTTGCAATTTTGTGAATAATCTCTTAAAATGCGATACTCAGAACTATTCAAGGTGCAGCATAACCAATGCAAAATAGAGAGGAATGATTTTCTTGTTTTGACATGTTACATCTGTTGGTGTGGCTGTTCTTTTTGGCAGATGCCTTTTGGCTCATTATTATTTTATAATAAATCCACCAAGACATTCAGATTATTTTCCATGTCCTGATGTGGAGTATGGTCTGCTATATGCTATAACCAAGCCTTTGTTTTTTCCTACACGATTGAAAGATTTTACATCCATCCCAGTTGAAATTAATTGTGCTGGTTTCTGCCCATTTCCCCAACTTTTCAAGATGCTATGGAATCTTGATATTGTCCTCTTTTTTTTTAATTGAAAAGTTTTATAAAAGTTACAATATAAACCCCAAAACCAACCCACTCTAAACCCCCCCTCTCCCTCCCCCACTTCCCAGAGCTGAATACAGGGTTACAAATATAATAATCTTAATCTAACTAACATTAACCAACTATATAAATAACCAAGTCCATAATGCACTTTAACTCCCCTTTAACATAAATATAATAATAATAATTAAAACATAAACAAATTAGTATCCTAATTATTAAACAATAGAATATTGTTAAACAATACTAATACTAAAAATAATAATAATATCATATAATTAAAACTAATAAAAATTTCANAGCATCACAATCTGTAATAACACCCAACAAAAATAATTGTGGAGTGAACTTTATCTTTCTCTTGAAGATCTTTTGAATGTTCCACCAAATCTTAATCCAAAAAGCTTTTATATTTCTACAAGTCCACCAAATATGAAAATAAGTAGCATCCAAGCTACCACATCTCCAACATTTGGGCTGTAAATTAGGATACATACAAAACAACTTTTTAGGATCCAGATGCCATCTATAAAACATTTTATAAAAATTTTCTCTTAAATTTTGATATTGTCCTCTTAAGGCATTTGCTATCTCCTCATATATTTGTTATCTACAAATGTGATAATTACTTTTTTCTAATCTCTCATTCTAGACAGTAATAAATATGTTGAATAACACAGGGTCTAATCCTGGTGATATGCCACTTGACACTTTCCCTCAATACAACGCACAGCCACCCTTTGTGCCTGTCAGAACTTTGATAGCTGCCTTACCTGAAAGTGATTTTTTCCTAAACATGAATCTCTCCAAGTTGTCTTTAGGAAGCTTTATTAAAATGAAAGCAGATGTGGTAAAAGAATTCCAGCCAATTTCCTATAATGGACCCCTGCAATAATTCCAGCCTGATAGAAAGTCAGTGGCATGATGGCACTCATGGGTGTGATTGTACAATCTCTGTTTTCCATCTATAAACAGCATAAGCCAGTCAACTTTGTGCTATTTTCTCTATTAAGGTCTTATGACAAGCCTTGCCTAGTGGTTTGCTGAACTCAAGGTACACTCCTGCAGTCAAATAAACTAGCTACTTTGTCCAAAAAGATCAACTTTATTTGACATTTCTTCTTGAGAAATGCTTGCTGGCTTCTGCCAAGTAATTTATGTTTTTTTAAATTCTCCCTAACCAATTCTTTAATAATCTATTGCAGAGTTTTGTCATGTGTCAATTACAGGCTTACTGGTTGGTGATTCTGGTCCTTCCCTCCCCCCCCCCCTGCCCTCCATTCCTATATGAAGATCAGAACAATATTTTCCCTTCTCCATTCTCCATAATTTCTCAAAGATCACAGAAAAGGGCTTGGAGGTAACATCTGCAAGCTCTTTCAAGATTTTCAGATGCATCTGGTCTACCTGGCAATTTAAACATGTTCACAGAAGTCACATGCTCCCTAACAGATTGCCAGTCGTCCCTAGAGGGAACTGTTTTTTAATAGAACAAGCAATAAAAATATCACAAGGAAGATGAAAGAAAAAAAGAGGTTGAAAGGGGCCCTTTTTTCTGTTTGTCTTCTGTTACTACGTTACCATTTCTCTTACAAATGGGCTCATCTCTTTTCTTTTTCTTCATTTACTATTGAAATGGCCAGGAAAAAAAAATCTTTTTTGTTGTTTTTACTTCCCTTGTGTCCTTAAACTTCTTTTGTGCTTTACCCTTTTGAACTTCCATGTATCTCTTGCATGATTATATGTGCTTGCAAGAGCTGATTGTTAAATTTTCTGGAATTTTGTGAGCTGGTTGACAGCAGAGGTAACCTTGACACCTAGCTGTTCTGTAGCTAGGAGTGTGCCTTATCAATGGTAATTGTGCCAGCAGAGCTTATTCTTAAAACATTTAGCAGCATACTACTAATTATATCAATTAAGTTGATCTTTTTGGACAAAGTGGCTAGTTTATTTGACTGTAGGAGTGTACCTTCACTTCAGCAAATCATTAGGCAAAGCTTGTCATAAGCTTCTATTTTCCTTTTACCTTTTAACTCAGTTGAAAGCTTCCTATGCATTCACAAATTTCTTGAACTGCCCCCTTCATTCTTTTTCTTCAATGAAATGCTTTGTAGCTGTGCTTCCAGGATTTGATTTCTGAGACACTTCCAACCCTCCTGTGCTTCCTTTGTCCAGAGCATTTCATCAATGGGATCCTGCCCAGTAGTTCTCTAAGCTTATCAAAACTCATTCTTCAGAAATCTAGTGTCCGTGTATGGGAGTGCTTCAATTGCAGTATCTTCAATCCCAAGAAGATACTGTCACTTCCTCCCAAAATCTTGTTTTTTATCTCTTCAACCAGCTGTTTCTTATTGGTTGGGATAAGATTTAGAAGGGCCAACTCCTTTGTCTCTTCCTCAGCCTTTTGGAAATGAAACAATCAAAAAGGCCCCTGAGCAAATTTGAGGACTTTACAGTATTAGCTGAACTGGTTTTCTAGATGTCCAAGTAGCTTAAGTCTTCCTGTGTCTCTTTGCCATAAAAGGTCTGTAATCTAATACAGGAAGATTGTATTCAAGTCTGCTTACTTTGGTGGTTGAATGATAAATACGGGTAGTCCTCAACTTATAATCATTCCCTTAGTGGCTGTTCAAAGTTACAATGACATTGAAAAAAAGTGACTTATGACCGATTTTCACACTTACGGCCATTGCAGGATCCCCATGATTATATGATCAAAATTCAGAAGCTTGGCAACTGACTCATATTTATAACGGTTGCAGTGTCCTGGGGTCATGTGATCACCTTTTGTGGTCTTTTGACAAGCAAAGTCAATGGGAAAGCCAGATTCACTTAACAGCCCTTTGGGCTCAATTGTGGTCATAAGTTGAGGCCTACCTGTACTGTGAACTAAATAATAAATCAAAGTATTCTTACTCATAAGTTTTCAACTGGCTCCTCATATTCAAATTCCTAGGTCTCCAATCATGTACCCAATTATTTTATACATAAGAGCCCCAGTGTCTGCCCTGTCACTTTTGAATGACTTAAATCCTTAGGTCCTTGCATTCCACTCATGAATCTTGTCCCACCAAATTTCAGTACTGTAATGCCTTCTAAATCATAATCACTTTTCTGCATGGAGCCTTCTAATTTTTCTTGTTTGCTCCTCATACTTTGTGTATTTGTATAGAGACAATTAAATCCTTGGTTTGCTTGGCCTATTGCTTTACATACTTATTTCCACATGAAGTGGACACCATCACTTACAGTACCTGGAGTTTCTCATCTCAGAAGCATCTCCCATTTTTGAAGTACAAATAATTCCCATCCACAGCATCAGCCTGTAACCAAGATAGCTTGGTTATTTCATTTTTTTATTTTTCATTTTATTAAATTTATACCCCGCCCTTCTCCCGTAGGACTCAGGGCGGCTTACAGCCAGTTAAAAACAGTTTAATACAATACAATAGAAATTTTAAAAATCATTAAAAATAAATATATAATCGGCCGCTTCTACTAAAATTTGGCTAAAAAACAATTTAAAATACCCCTAGGCCAGTCCTGCCCGCTGAAACA